GAACTCACCAGAAGACGGATGAATCCCGTTGTACTGTAGTCGTTTGGCTTTTATACGATGTGCAGGCTGAATACGTCCACGAGACATACTCCCTCTCTTCGGGTGAAACGGGCTAAGCTTTCGTCCATCATATGATGGACATCATCAGAGCTGTAAATCATTCTTGTAAAAAGTCTCACGTTAACACTTAGGCAAGAAGACTATCCGGCTCTATCTTACCTCTTATAAATACTCATAAGTAAAAAAAACTAAAATGATATAGAAACGAAGAGTAACTGGGTTTCTATGAATTTCCGGAGATAACATGGTTGGGAAGAACTCAATTTCGTATGAAAGTGCATGGTGTGTGTGTGTGTGTGTGTATGTATGTATGTATGTGTGCTAACGCCTATACGCAATACCGGCCAAAAAAGGTTAATGTCAGGCTCTGGTCATCAAGGCTTAATGACCCAAGAGAAAGCCCTGACCGAGACTGCGTAAGTCCGTAAGCAAATATGGTTGAGATAATGAGATTTAAGCCTGTAAGTGTGTAAGTCAAGTTACGAAACCACCTGTCCAGACTTTAGTCTAGGATCATTAAGGTTTAACCATCCAAGAAATGGCATGACTTGGGCTGCGCAATCTGGTACGTCTGGTTTAGTTGATTAGCTTAATCTAACATGTTGGACGAGTATGAGTGAAGTTGGAATCAGCATTGAGCAGACAAGTTGAATCGTCTTCTTTTGAATGGCGGCTCAACACCCGCTCTCCTTAAGTCTGTCAATCAAGCATAAGTAGTTCCTACTCAACTTTCTACCACCGTTACTCACATTTAACGTATTCCCGAAGGAAAGCATTAACAGGCTACACGAACTAATTAAAACCCAAACCAGGTTTTGATAATCCCTTTCTGGGGTACTGACTAATGTGGATTTTCTAAAGTTGTAGGCTAAGGAAGACTAGCTAGGAGAGGCGGATACATGATAGGAAACTTAGGAATTTATGAATTAGAGTTAGGTCAAGAAACTTTGCGTCTAAGGTAAGTCGTAGAAACCATGTTTGTAACAAAATGGGGAAGGACAAGCTAATCAATTTATCCGGTATAACTCTGGAGGATAATGTGCAACTTTTATTTGAAAGAGGATTAAATTTTGCTCTTTCAGATGAAGTAAACCATTCTCTAATCAAACTTGCTGAATTAATTACTTTATCTGATAGATTGCCGGA